AAGGGGTAAGTCGGCAAGAATAAAAGCTTGGTTGATTCCCATGGGAATGCAGCATTTTTGTTGAAAAAAAAGGTTCTTTAACCGTAACAAATATGTTCCCAAGCAAGAAATCAAGCATCTTGAGAATGTCAAATTTAAAGAATTCGTTGTTTGAATTAGAGTTACAAAGTACGAGTTATCCCGTCCTAAGACAAACTACTGGTATCTACGTCGGCCATTCTTTTTATGAAACAAAACAGGACCAACTCTTTCAATTTGTCTTTAAGTTTGGAATGAGGGATACTTGATTAAAGTGTAGAAAAGTCAAATGTTTTAATACTATTGTAGATGACAGAATCTTGGATGGTATATTCTCTAACAGCTCTGGGTTTTTTAGTATCCATATCTGATTCACGCCACCGCTTGATTGCTGATAAAATTTTTAGCACACTTATGTAATTTATGTATCCAATACAGTGACTAAAGATCCAGTTTTTCATCATTTGTTGAAATTCCAAAGATAGAACAGACCTATGATTATTCAGAATTTCCATCTTGGAAATGATTAAAGTGAATTGTAATTGACAAATACGAAAATAAGCACCACTGAAGATATCATTGCACAGCAACCTGTACAGAAGGCATAACAGTTTAATTTTTTTTGCTGAACACTATCAAAGATAGGCAAGAACTGAAAGTACCAAAACAAGATATACAAGAAAATGATGTCCTGCAAATTTTGCAAAACACACAATGAAACTAAAAGATTAAAAAATAGCTAAAATATAAAAAAGTAAATGAATGCATAAGTCATGGAAATAATCATCCAAATAAACGTATTAGCTACTTATTGAGTACAGAGATGTTATTTTTGGATACGGAGTGGTAATTCTATTTATTTAAAAATTTGAGGGGGGGGGTGAAAAGGTTGATTCCCTGAATTGTTTTTCTATGAATTCTATGTGTATGCACCTCCTAGATTCAAAATGATTTGTACAATGCCAAAACTGGCTGTATGGCGATTATTTCACTTTAATTTCAACGAATCATTAAATCACGTAGTTCCGTACTATGAGTTCTGTTTAAGTAGGTATACACAAAGACCTTAAATTATGGACCGGTATTGCACTTTAAATTATCATAGACAGATTTAATAAATCCAAGTATGCCATCTTTGCCATTTGTAATCTTCTATAATGAAAATTTTCATTTCTGATTTTAACTATTTAATTTCACTTGGATATTTGCCTACAGAATTTATCAAATAGCTGTGTTAAAAATCGATTCTTTTATTTGCGGAAAAGCAAAGTGAAACTAAATGGCTTAATAACTGATAAAAATGAATATTCCACTTAAAAAAATATCTTGCCGAACCCCATCCCAGATATCAAATGATCGTCCCTTGGTTGTTCTGTCTACTTTGGATCTTTCTTTTCTGGGCAAACATTGCTCTTTTTACGGAACTGTCGTAAAAACAAGATTTGCATTTGTAAACAAACCTTTTCTTATTTGTGCGAATCTTAGGTCACTTACTTCTTCTGGATTCTATACAAGTGAACAAATATAGAAAAATTTAATCGACCGGTAAAAACAATGCTTATTTTCCCAAGGGAATTCTTATTGAATTAAAAAACTGCATGTTTGATCTCACATTTCTTAAGTTTTAACTTCAGTAATAAAAAATATATGGTTGCTGTATTATTTTGCACTATACATATATAGCTGCTTAGGATTTTAGTGACAAAATTAACCCTTTACCTTTAAACTAGGTCTATATTTTGATCATACTATGACGAATCAAATTATGTATGGTTGCTAGATACCTATATATCAATATTTTGTATGCTTCAAACTTTGACTATTCCTGACAGAACTCTTCAAATAGATTTTAAATTAAGGTAAAGGTCATTATCCAGTCATATTGAAGATACTTAATGCTCAACATTCATGCTATATTCATTCTCTATATCACTGCGTTTTATATGTTTAATAACATGGTCAATATTCACATTCAATTTGGTCTTTGTTAATTAAAATGATTTGCCTTTTTTTTAAATTCAATGACAAATTACCCCTACTGCTTTGGACTTTTTTAAAATGTTATCAAACACTTTTAAATAAAATATTGATTCCCACCGAATAGTTGCAAAGTATGTTCTTTTAACTTTCAAATGCCCTTATATACGAGAAAACCAATTGATCTTATTACTATGGTAACCATGGCTGACGTAGATTTTTTCCAAGTTAATCCTCCAAATTGAATAGTTATGATAAGTTTCAGGAAAATCGCTGATTTCAAAAGGGTGATTCATGAGTGGATTCATGGTTATAAAACTTACACATATCCTATTTTCGATAGTTAACTAGGAACTCGAATTATGTTCTTTCTATTAACAAACTGTCATACAAGTGAGAGGTTTAGCTACCTGTTTAACCCAACATTCTCTTCGGTGAATGCCTGTACAAAGTCAGGAATATGACAGGTGTTTTTCATTTGTTCCGTTGATTGATAGTTCTTGATATTGTCGGTTTGTATGGACTCCCCCTTTTTTGAATTTGTATTAGAGTTCAGTATTTTTGTTAAACTTTTTTATTTGTAATACAATGATATATAAACAATGAAATGAAATACACTATAAAAAGTTGAAAAATCTTTATACACAATAAAAAGTATAAAAAGAGATTATATATGTTCATATTTTCCACAGTAGATATCAAATACATGTTCATTTACTGATCTGGTAGTAAAGGAGAAGCCTCTTTATGATTTTCACCTGTTACATGTGTTGGTAAGTGAAACATAAAAAAATATGAAAACCTTTTGGAGTGATTCTCATTTTTCATAGGATTGGTGAATTTGCGAGATGTGAGTGCAAATTGAGAGGCATATATTATATCATGTAAAAATGTCAACATAATACCATATACCACTCTCAATAAAAAAAGAAACAGATCAAAATCTTCTACCTTTTAAGCATTTTGTATACAGTCTCAACCTTAATATACTTTGCTTAGTGACATTGATGCACATATGGATGAACTGTCTATTCAAATAAGTTGCAATAACGTTAACGGTACTCATTTGTCTGCAGCACTAGATGCGCGTTGCGAGTTTTACTACAAATATATATTTAGGTGATGCTTTTATCGTCATAGGATAGCACATATTACTTTTCTGTGTCCAAATTAAACTAATAGCAAAGGCATCATTTTACAGAATTTTAATATATTGACAATTGCTGTGGACGAATGATGACTTTTAAGATATCGCATCTTCAATAAGAATAGAACATCAAGACTCTTGAAGGTGACGTCTACAGGACAAAACAGTTGCATGATTTACACTTACGCATAGAATTACCAAACGAATTAGATATAAGAATATTTTGTCGTTAAAAAATGAAACAAAATACAAATCGATAGTTTTTGCCGGAATGTTTAGTTATTTTACTCAGCATTCAGAGTGTAGTAGAAGAACGGTGTTAAACTTTTCCGGGGAAATAATTAAGAAAGACAGTTCAACTTGTTTATTTTTCAAAATTTCACATTCGGTAAAGCTACTGGGTTAGAGGATTATATGACTTAAGGTTTATGAATTTGGTGATGTTTTATGGTTACATAAAAGTCAATTACCAATCCGCTATTTTCGGTGGGGTTCGTGTTGTTCAGTATTTAGTGTTCTGTGTTGTGTTTTGTATACTGTTGTTTGTCTTTTAGTCTTTTCTTCATTTTCGCCATAGCGTTTTTTATTCATTTTCGACTTATGAGTTTGAATGTCCCTTTCGTATCTTTCGCCTCTCTTTTCCAGGAAAATAAAGGTCAGTAAATGAAATTTATTTTGCCTTGTACAACAACTCATTCAACTTTAGACATTTGTCAAATGTGAGAGACAATTATGACATGTGTCCCAAACAGGCACTGTAATCATTGAATAATGTTTTGATTTTCCATAAAACTTATTTCGATCTACAACAGATATCTAAAAATAGCAAAATTAATATAATATGCAACTGTTCCGACTCCCTTTAAGTAAAGTTAAGATTATGTCGCAAGTCGGACTTTGCCAATATAGCATTAAAAAAAGCTGAAACATTTGTACAATTTGTAATGTAAACGCTGTTAAACAACTGTGTGTGTAAATTTTTTTATATAATTGCAAAAGGAATATCACATCCTTCTTTTGCAGATGCTGATAAAAAGTTATCAATTCAGACGCGATCCATGTAAACTGACCGAATCTTTGAATAAATGTATTACAATGGTTATCAATTCAACATTGTTATATTATCAAAATCTCTGAAGTTGTATATATCGGTACAAAAATGGATTTTATTTTCAAAAGTCTGAAACGTAACTAGATATACATTGCTATTGCCGTCATGCGTCCTGCTGAGACTTATATTTTGATATTACACAATGACATGTTTCTATCAAACGACGTACGGCTTTTAATCGTCATGGAATTAGTTGAAGGTGTACTGATTGAGATTGATGGCTATGTCTTAGAAAATATAGTCTATTTATTAGGAAACAACGGACTTAGACTTGTTAGAAATAGCTCACAGTGCCTGTAAAATCCCCCCTGCCTCTCAGTTCTGTACTTTGTGTTTTTGATTTGTTTATCATTTTTTATTATACTTACTTCAGATCGAACAGTCATGCAATTTTTCATTTTGTTCTGGTTTGCTTAATGTTCTAAACTTTAACAAAACATTAAAATATTTTACATATATATTTTGTTATATGTCTGTCAAATTTATTGCTTTCCATGCGTTAGGTATCTCACATTTGTGAATGTTATGGTAAACTAAATTTGTTAACACCTTGTCCTTAAGTCTTTTCTTGGTCACAGTTTAGTTAACAATGAAACGCACGTTGTTGTATTAATCTATAATGACAGCTTCAATAATGTCGGGAAATAATCTTTATATTAAATGACAAAAACTTCTTTGTTTATGTGAGACATGATTTGTCATCAAAGGAATGTAAGTTTACTGATACAAACTGAGTGTACCTCTTACCTGTTTGTTTCGGTGGTTTAAATTACAACCATATTCAAGTAACATTTGAACAATGTCCACTCTGTTACAGCAGCATGCTAATTGTAACGCTGTGTCACCCTATAATATAATTATAATAATTAGAAATATATTTGTTGTTGAAAAGGTTAGCCACCATATGTTCTGAATTGATGTGATGTGCTTATAAGATTGAAAAAAATTACTAATAGCTTTTTACAATATTGTGACAGTTAGGTCCAATGCTATGAACACTTGATTTATAGCTGCTTTCATTTTTTAAAGGACTTCTAAATTGATCTTCATTAATTATAAGGGCCCGTTCAGAGTTTGTCAAATATGTTGTCAATGACAACCATTACTTTACCTATTCTGTCAATCAAGGACATATAATTACATAAATTAACAATAATTAACTTCAATGTCACTATTTGACAAGAACTATGTTCAAACGTTTCACCCCAGTCTCTTATTCACATTAGGTTAATTTTTCATTGAGTTCTTGTGTGTACGTCATGACCTACCTATGACTGGAACAACGACGACAGTTTTTATGTACTGTATGGGACTGAAGTAAATGCAATGATGCAATACAAATTTCACATAGCGGAATGGTGTAATATAATCGTCTAAAGTTTATGTTTATTATATAAATATGTTAGCCAACACTTGTATGATATATCATTATTTATAATTTATAAATCGAATATTTTAATTACTGCAAATTGTCTGATAATATTTATATTGTAAGAATAAATCTATAATGTTAACAAATTATGCATTGAAATGAAAAATGTCTTTAAAATTGTATAGTTTATATTAATATGTAAACTTTCAAATTTAGACGAGATTTATGGACCATTAAAGGAACGAATTTTATCATAGACTTTTAGAAAGTTATTAAAACTCTTCAGTAAAGATAGTAAATAATACTATTTGCGTATGATGTAAATTATTATCACAATAAATAATGAGTTTCTTAATTGTATTAGAAGTAAAGTTGTCTAAAGGACCAAAACAAGTCGGCTGTTAGTTTATATTTACTTGCTTGAAATACAACACTAATTTTATTCTTTGAATGTAAATAAGAAACACAATGCACTGTGGTGTACGGTATCAATGTTCAGTGCAGTCGTTCTTGAAGAAGTTATTTTTCTACGATTTTTTTATTCCACAAAATTTGTAGATTAAAGAGAACTTCTAGTGTTTTGACCCTAGTTTGAGAATCTATTTCAAAGAACGACAAAGTAAATCACTGCATTGGGATTTATTATTAATACATACGTTCTCTGAAAGTATTTGATTTGTTCGTGAATCTATATATAGATCATTGATATTTTTAAAGTAGACTTATCTTTGATGAGTTTTTATAACAACCTGGCCGATGTCACTGCTTGTGGAGGTTTCGTCCCAAAGGGTATACTAGTATCTAGCTGAGTAGATATAGTTAATGATAACATCTGGAGACGCCAACTACCGCTATGGGAAATAACGATAGTAAATAAACTTGCTCAAATTTCTGAACACAATCGTTCATCGACAAAACGTCATTTAGAAAGGTAATGTGAACAAGGAGAATAGATTTTTTTGGTGCAAAATGGTGAAGAAAATTATATATGAAACGTTAAAAAGACTAGTGGTAGCGTGTCATTTGTTACCTTAGGTAGAAAAGAAAGGGATATTTTGCAAATATTGCTGAACACAGCTCAAACCCATGTGAATCAATCCACTGTATATCAAAACAAGTAATATGTTTTTTGCTCACATAGATCTAACCAATGCATATTTTTATTTCAAAGGCGGAAATTCCTTCCCTTTTAGATATAGTTCGTATCATCACATGATTATATTTGAAAAAAAAATAATCATTATCAAAACTGGAAAAGAAAATAAACAATTTTTACAACATATATTACAATTAAGAGCAGGAAAAATATATCATAATGTATTATAAAAAATCAGCTGCAACTCATGTTTGAGGCTGATTCAGTTGAACGAGCGTACTAAAAGTAGATGCATGATAGTATATTTAGAACACTAAAAAAACATTTAACTCCATTTGCATATAAGTTCAAGGTTACGTAGAGTTACAGTTACTATGTTAACGATTCAACTTCTATGTATTATCCTATTTTATTAAAATGTAGATCGTTGCTTAATTTCAGGTCAATATCTTTATAACATTGTGTAGTAGATCAACTTAATAACCCATAGGTAAATTTTCAATCGTATTTTCGAAATCTATATGTTTAATTGATTTTCCTAATTCGTGTACTTGCATTCAATATCAATATTACGGTCAATTTTGGAAAATATACGGCTTATCAAAATTTCAATCATTCAAACACTTAGGATTTTTCCTTTTTTGGCATGAATCATATATTCTTTTTACATGTTTTGACTTCCAAAAAATCCGTCTGTGATCTTTGTCCCATATGTATACCCCAAAAGAGTTTGCAAACAGTCAGATTGGTCATAAATGTGCACAGATCGTGTAAATGAGTTTTCAATCTTTTTTGTTTTTGAAAACAAAACTTTAAAATCTTTAAGACTATCAGAAAGTCAATGAGATGTGCTCTCATTGTGATTAATAGGTATACTGAATACAGTATTTCCCGTGAGTTTAGTTTCATGTGGCTACAAGGTCAATAATATCAAATAGGTAGGTTATATATATTTGTAATGTCTCATGATGTTATCATTTAAACCGTAATAATGACTGTATATCAACAACTGTCATACAAGTGAGAAGTTTAGCTAGCTATTAACCAGGTTTAACCCATCATTTTCTTCGGTAAATGACTGTACCAAGTCATGAATATGACAGTTGTTTGAATTCGTTCCTCTGGATGATATAGTCGAGCGTTTGATTTTTGTCGAGCCTTCGACTTTTGTCGAAAAAGCGAGACATAGCGATCCTACATTCCGTCGGCGTCCACAAATATTCACTCTGTGGTTAAAGTTTTTGAAATTTTAATAACTTTCTTAAACTATCCTGGATTTCTACCAAACTTGGACAGAAACTTGTTAATGATCATAAGATTATATTCAAAAGCAAATTTTGTAAAAAAAAATTCCGTTTTTTCCGTATTTTACTTATAAATGGACTTAGTTTTTCTGCCAGGAAACATTACATTCACTCTGTGGTTAAAGTTTTTCAAATTTTAATAAATTTCTTAAACTATCCTGGATTTCTACCAAATTTGAAAAGAAGCTTGTTTATGATCATAAGATAGTATCCAGAAGTAAATTTTGTTAAAAAAAAAATTCCATTTTATCCGTATTTTACTTATAAATTGACTTAGTTTTTCTGCCAGTTAACATTACATTCACTCTGTGGTTAAAGTTTTTAAAATTTTAACAACTTTCTTAAACTATCCTGGATTTGTACCACATATGGGCAGAAGCTTGTTTATGATCAAAAGCTAGTATCTAGAAGGAAATTTTGATAAAATTTTGTTCCATTTTTTCCGTATTTTACTTATAAATGGACTTAGTTTTTCTTCCAGTCAACATTACATACAGTCTGCAGTTTAAGTTTTTAAAACATTTATTAGATTCAAAAATTATCCTGGATTTTTACCAAACTTGGACAATTTTATTTTTTTTTCCTCATTTTTGTTGAGCCTGCGATTAACAGCAAAAGTAGGCGAGACACTGGGTTCAGCGGAACCCTTACCAATTTTTTTTATCGGGTACCTTTTTGAATGTACCTTGGAGCTGAAGGTATTTTTGTTAATACTTTTTTTATACATTTTCGATTTCTCTCTACGTTTGTTAATTTTCCTTGTGCACATTTCCAAGAATTTAAACTTAAATAATTTTCATTCCATAAAAATAGTGCTCGCCGAGATATATTATGCACATTTTATCAAAGTACGTTTATTTTTATTGCAGTTTTATGACACCATATCCTGGCTAGCTTCGGGTTAATTAATCAGACAGACTTGTAGTTTCTCTAAAATGTTGAGTATTAAGGAAACATAAAACATGTTGCTTTTTTTATTATTTCTACTATTATAATGGGTTTTTTGTTTTGATTATTATTTTAAATATAGTTACTAGTATTACTATTGTTGTAACATTATTACCATCATTATAAGTAGAAGTTTTATGTGCATTTACTCAAAAATTTTATAGTGTTTCGATAAGAAAATTAGCAGTTAACAAATATCTGCGATGTGGATGTTGAATTTATATTCGCGATATGTTTCGCTTAGTCCATCTTGAGTTTTATTTCTTCCATATCGAACACACAAAGCGAAAATAGTTTAAAACCTTCTTAAAAAGACGTAAATAGCACCATGAGTTTGATTAGACGCTCAGATATATTGACGATTGACTTTATCAAAATTATTGTGCTCATGATGACAAAACTGCCAGAGAAGTATTATGAGGAATCGCGATTAAAATTTAAATGATACAAGATTCACCGACACGAATTTGTTGACCAATGCAAACGATCTTTGTTTTGAATCACGAGAATAGCAATGGTGTAATAGTCTTTAGCATGTTAATAGATTTTACCTATATGGATTCAGTGATTACAACTTTGATTTAGTATGGATTCACTAATTACAACTTTGATTGAGTATGGATTCACTTAGGAAGGAATGATGCTTATCAGGACACGCTTACTATGCCGCTTTTGATCTTAATCTTTATGGGTTCACGCAATTTACTCATCTTTTTGCTATTTCAATTCAAAATTGATTTACGAAATTTAAATACTCGAAAGATACTGTAACTTCGTATTCATTGTAACATTATCGTGCGATGGAGGTGAACAGAAAACGAGTGTAAACAGAAAATATAATGTCCGGAAAACAAATACCCGTTATATGTACTAAACTCTTCGGTATGTTGAAACAAGTAATGTCAACTAGCATTAGCCCTTTATTGTTAAAGATGTAACTTACCGAGTCGACATATGTGCAATTAACATCAGCACCTAAATGTAGATATTTCTTCACTTCGTTAACAGACGTATTTATGGCAGCATGTATGAGTTTCTGTCAGAACAAATAATCAATTTTAGTTGTTGATACATAACGTATATTTTTTTACATCCGTAATCCTTACATTCATCTTCTGTCAGTACTAAGTCTTTTTTGTAGTTTAAATATGACAATGAATAGCACAAACTATGATGAACTTATTTTGTTAAATAAATGCTCATTTACGTTATTTTTTTACATCGCTAATTAAAAAAGGTATTCTTTTTTCTTAAGATTTTGACGTCGAAGAATTATTCTTAATACTTCTGCCATTCACTAAATGTCGTATAGAGTCAATCGTTAATTAACGATAATGCATGTTTCAACGATATACGGAAGGCTAGATAGACAATACTTAGTAGCATGTTAAGAATTCAGACGAAGTGTTGGCATGTTTTCCCTTTTATGCTGGTCACGATCTATATTCTTGGACTTATATTTTGTCGTCAACATTCAAAAAAGAAAAAGCGTACTTTAAGAAAGGCATAACTTATATCATCCCGTAATAATTTCTTGAAATGTAAAAGTAAATATTGATTTTTAGCAAAGATACTTTTGTTAAATTTTTGTCATGTTAATGTTATTATTCTTGTTATACATTACCCTATTTAGACGTTCTATATCTTCCATATTGGTCTTTGAATACCTGTAAATAACAGAAAACATACTACTTATAATCATGACATATTTATGTTTAAAAGGAATTGAATAAAGAACTTATATGAATGTTTTCTTGAGTTTCCTGATTTTTCACTCATATATGTACCATGATGTACATGTATATATGGAATTTGTAATAAAATTGAAACGTACATTTAAATACAAGTTATACACTTTATAAAGTATTAGAGTTTTGTTTCATCTTTCATTGTAAAAATTTGGAATACATATTTTAGTAACATATGCAAAGTGGTTTCATCCTTATTTATATAAAGAGAACTTTGTTATGTTATAATAATATTGAGAAAAACCACCAGAATATTAATTAATTGAAAACAATTTAAACTTAGCCATACCAATCAGGGATATATCATGTATTCTAAATTGATAAAGGAATATACAGAATCTGGTGTTTTGTTTTAGTATCATAACAAATAAAAATGTCCGGTCATTCCATTTTGTATCCAATTTTCTAAAGCATTTTATAAGAACTATCGTTCATATTTATTTCAAAAATAATTCTGGAATGTATTTTTTTTATATTTACATGTTGTATTTACTTTATGATAGTGGTCACCTTGCTTGGATAAACCATACATAATATGTGTCCTTTTCACGTTTTATCCTGAAATTATGATCTATTACTTTTTATTCAAATCAACTGTTTTTTTTTTTACTAATGACCACATTTGCACCAGGCAAATAGACAATATAGAAGCCAACAAACAATCAAACAAAGGTACCAACATTTGGCACATATAAGTTCATAAGAAGAAAAAAAAACCAATGGTACGACTGATTTAAAAATTAACACCCGTGTCTTGGTAAACAATGTAATGGCATTAGAATCAAATGGTGCGTACGCAGCTCTTTATTTTATACTTTCACTGGGAACACAAAACATTTTGAAAGCAAATCTTTTATATAATACCCAACAACTCGAGGGCTATACGACAACAAGTTTCCGAAAGGAATAGCCAAATTCATCTTAGGTCAAGTTTGCTCTAAGTTATCACCGAATAGTGTAAATGTCTTGCATATTGTATATACAAGTACATAAAAATCAGATTATCATGAAATGCATCTCGGGTTGGTGGGGACTGTTTGTTGTCAATATAGTAAATACGGTTATGATAGAGAAGCGATGAAAATATATTTAATCATGAAAGAGATGTGTCCCTAATGAATACAAAAATTATATGAAAGGTTTAAATTTTCGATATCTTGTGATGGAATGGCATGTATGAACATGAATGGTAAACTTCATTTTCTACGGAGAATTTTAATGTGTTTGTCGTATTCAAATAAAAGTCACTTGCAACAATCGTATAAAAATCTTTAAGAAAATTAACGAAGAAACCAGTTCATAAAATAAGGATAATAATAGAGGTAAATTAGAGTTGCTGCGAAGAAACCACACACAGTGATATCCCCGCCCCTGTATAATCAAAGATTTGCTTAGTGAAACCTAATAAATAAATCGTGAAAAAAAGTTCAGGTACACAGTTGCATTTTATAGCCTAGATACGCAGAATGTTTCGTAAAAAATGGTTAAAGGTTAAGTAGATAGACATGTTTGTTTTAGTGTTGGAATATGACAAAGTACACCTCTTAAACATAACTTAAAAGCAAAATTTAAAAAAAAAGTAAATTATGTGAGTAATATCATTTGAAAGTTTTACACAATTCTGCCAAACGGGTCATGAACAGTAGCCACAACAGAGGAACGGAAAAGGCGGACTTACAGACACCCCTATCACTCTATACAACCTGTTTCAGAAAAACTAATTCAAACGAGTGGAAATCGGATATCGATTGATAAACAAATGAGGTATTCAGTTTCTATATATTAATAAACTAAACGTTGGTGAGTTTATAATAACTATTTGAAATTGAATAACAAGATTGTATATCAAATCATATCCAGTTCTCAAGAGTTGTTAAACCTATTTATCTTATGATAAACAAAGTAGTATTTCAATATTCAGCCCCATTCTACTATTTAGTCAGACGTCAGTCGCTACCCTGATATACCCTTTCTTTTTTGGGTAATTAATACGGATAGCGTTTGACATCTTTAGCCGAACAGATTTATCATTTTTACATAATTTAATTCATTGTATGCTGGTTCATATTCTGGACGCCAGTCGTTGCTCCTTTCTAATATAATTCACAAACAAAAAACAAATATGAAGCTTAGAAATGGAAAAATATTAAATACTAAACTCGTTCAAAGGGTATCTACACGTCTCAATCTTCAAAATCGCTTATCTAAAAATACTACCATCGCTAACATTTTTAACAATAAAAATCGTGGTTACCCTTCTATCGATAAGTGTCATGCCAAAAAATGACTTACATGTCCCCGTCTTTCCACCAACAATACGGTAAGGTCCATGTTTAATGGTCGCACATTTTCTTTAAATTTTGAAACTGATAGAACTTGAAAAACAAACAGTATTATTTATTCACTCACATGAAACAAACCGGGATGCGATATTCAGTACGTAGGTGAAACTGGACGATATTTATCTAAACGCACTCAAGAACATCTGTATCGTTTTAAAAGACCCAATAAATTCAAAAGTATCATTTGTCAACACCTTAAGAAGCACAATCATCCTATTAAATATTTAGCAGTTCAACCTTTAGAAGTAGTAAATAAGCAGCCTGGTGAATCTCATTCAAAGTTTGTAAGATCACGGAAAATAATTGAATTAAATTGGATTAAAAAATTACAGACAGTTTACCCTCTCGGTCTTAATGATAATATCATGGGAATTGGTAATATATCAAGAATCGATTCTGTTAACATTTTGGATATAGTTTCTAAAACTGTTCGTAAAAACCGTTCTCATGGTCGTAGAAAAAATCGCAATCAAAGAAAATTTCGGACCAATCATACCAATATTTCGGACCTAATTTCTATTTCAAAAAACAACGGCAGACATTATCTGTTAACAAAGCTCTGTTCATTACCGGTTAATAAGTTAAATAAAATTTTAGAGGATTGCAACACAATTTCATATAGCAGTCCTAAGTATGAAATCGTTCAAATTATAATGGCATATTGTTATTCTAAACTGTTTCCCAAAATTGATCGCCCTGAAGATCATAAATAACAGTTTATTAAAATAAAGTATGTCAATAAAGGTTTTGATTTTGTAAATATTGCCGGTATTTTTAACGACCATTCTGTTAAAGAACAAATTCCGGGATATTTTGATAATACTGAGCTCCCTCTTATTTGTTATATTTACAAGATATCTACCCGGAAATTTGTGTATAATTTTAGCCAATTGTGTAAAAATGTTAATATCAGTGAAAATACACCTACTTCATGTAATTGCAGTAATTCCGAATACATTTATGGACCCATTTCCCATGTTATAACAGGAGATCTTAACATCGTTCAAGACCGAGAGTTAAAATCATTCCTCAGTAAAGGACCTAAATATCGTCCCCCGTCAATTATTAATTGGAATGAGTGTCGTAATATCATCCACGACTCACTCCATACTTACTGTTTGAAATGGATAAAACGGGAAAAAGCTGACAAAAAATCTTTGGACTCTTTTTTTAATTCAGTAATGAACATAGTTGATATACGTATTCAACATTTTAAAGAACATTTTACTCTTAACAATAATCACAATAAACCTATTTCTCGTATCAAACATAAACTAAAAGAACTAGCCAAGGAATTTGTTTTTGTCCCGGCCGATAAAGCTGCTAATAATATTATTATTGTTTGACGTAAATTTTACATTGAGGTTCTGAAAAAAGAAATCACCAATTCACCAACATTCCAACTGACTCCATTTTCAGAAAACGACATCTGTAACAAACATAAACTTTTAGCTACCGCTTTACAAGCAGAACCAAATACAATGAAAGTCATAACTATGTATTGGCTTCCGAAGCTACACAAAACACCTTACAAATATAGATTTATTTCGTCTTCAAGCCATTGTTCCACTACTAAATTGTCTATTCTTCTTACCAGTACACTTGGTACAATCAAAAACCTGATAATAAATTGTTCAAATAAGGCCTTCGAAAATAGTGGAATTAATTACTTTTGGAGTGTCAAGAACTCGTTGGAAGTACTTGATAAATTACATGCATATATTGGTGATTTTGAATCTGTTCAAAGTTTTGATTTTTCTACCCTATATACCACATTGCCTCACATTCTCATTAAGAAAAAATTCACACACCTAATTAAATGGGCATTTAAAAAGTCAGAATGTGAATATATATGTTCAAACTCTTTTAGGTCATTTTTTAGTAGCAATAAACAAAAAAACTATGTCAATTGGACATGCTTTGATACTATATATGCCCTTGAATTTTTACTAGATAACATTTTTGTTCGCTTTGGAGATTCCGTATATCGTCAGGTTATCGGAATTACAATGGGGACTAACTGTGCACCACTTATTGCGGACCTTTTTTTGTATTGCTATGAGTTACAATTTATGACAAAAATCAGCAAAGACCCATCGAAACAACATCTGATACACAAATTTAATAATACTTTTAGATATTTGGATGATATTTTGGCTCTCAATAATGACGACTTCAGTATGTATACTAAAGAAATTTATCCTGTTGAACTTACTTTAAATAAAGCTAATACTAACAAGGACCACTGCCCTTTCCTCGATCTTGATATCTATATCATTAATGGAAAGCTTAATACTAAAATATATGATAAAAGAGATGATATTACATTTCCTATCGTTAATTATCCATTTTTAGATGGTGACGTTCCCTTGTCACCATCTTACGGTGTTTATATATCTCAACTTGTACGATTCGCTCGTGTATGTAACAATGTTTTAGATTTTAACGAGAGAAATTTATGTATTACTGAAAAATTATTACACCAGGGTTTTCGATATCACAAACTAGTCAAAACATTTACTAAATTTTATCATCGGTATAAGGACGTCATTCGTAAACATAGCTCAACATGC